CCAAACCACTCAACTACGGGACTTAATAAATATGTTCAAGATGACTCCCATGGAAGATACACATCTTGTCGGCCATTTTGGAGAGAAGAAAGGAAATTGGAAACTTCTCTTCCAGTGGTGACACAGCGCTATACTGTTTCTCTTCCTGTGGTGACACAGCACTATACTGTTTCTCTTCCTGTGGTGACACAGCACTATACTGTTTCTCTTCCTGTGGTGACACAGCACTATACTGTTTCTCTTCCTGTGGTGACACAGAACTATACTGTTTCTCTTCCTGTGGTGACACAGCACTATACTGTTTCTCTTCCTGTGGTGACACAGCACTATACTGTTTCTCTTCCCGTGGTGACACAGCACTATACTGTTTACCACAGGATCAAGGACCCCATATTGTGTTAACTGTCAGCAACAAGAAAGACAGAGATATCAAAGGAAAACACACAAACACTTACAGTGGGGAGAACAAGTACTTGATACACTGCCGATTTTGCAGGTTTTCCTACTTACAAAGCATGTAGAGGTCTGTCATTTTTATCATAGGTACACTTCAACTGTGAGAGACGGAATCAAAAAAGAAATCCAGAAAATCACATTGTATGATATTTAAGTAATTAATTTGCATTTTATTGCATGACATAAGTATTTGATCACCTACCAAACAGTAAGAATTCCGGCTCTCACAGACCTGTTAGTTTTTCTTTAAGAAGCCCTCCTGTTCTCCACTCATTACCTGTATTAACTGCACCTGTTTGAACTCGTTACCTGTATAAAAGACACCTGTCCACACACTCAATCAAACAGACTCCAACCTCTCCACAATGGCCAAGACATCAGGGATACAATTGTAGACCTGCACAAGGCTGGGATGGGCTACAGGACAATAGGCAAGCAGCTTGGTGAGAAGGCAACAACTGTTGGCGCAATTATTAGAAAATGGAAGAAGTTCAAGATGACGGTCAATCACCCTCGGTCTGGGCCTCCATGCAAGATCTCACCTCGTGGGGCATCAATGATCATGAGGAAGGTGAGGGATCAGCCCAGAACTACACGGCAGGACCTGGTCAATGACCTGAAGAGAGCTGGGACCACAGTCTCAAAGAAAACCATTAGTAACACACTACGCCGTCATGGATTAAAATCCTGCAGCGCACGCAAGGTCCCCCTGCTCAAGCCAGCGCATGTCCAGGCCCGTCTGAAGTTTGCCAATGACCATCTGGATGATCCAGAGGAGGAATGGGAGAAGGTCATGTGGTCTGATGAGACAAAAATAGAGCTTTTTGGTCTAAACTCCACTCGCCGTGTTTTGGACGAAGAAGAAGGATGAGTACAACCCCAAGAACATCATCCCAACCGTGAAGCATGGAGGTGGAAACATCATTCTTTGGGGATGCTGTTCTGCAAAGGGGACAGGACGACTGCACCGTATTGAGGGGAGGATGGATGGGGCCATGTATCGCGAGATCTTGGCCAACAACCTCCTTCCCTCAGTAAGAGCATTGAAGATGGGTCGTGGCTGGGTCTTCCAGCATGACAACGACCCGAAACACACAGCCAGAGCAACTAAGGAGTGGCTCCGTAAGAAGCATCTCAAGGTCCTGGAGTGGCCTAGCCAGTCTCCAGACCTGAACCCAATAGAAAATATTTGGAGGGAGCTGAAAGTCCGTATTGCCCAGCGACAGCCCCGAAACCTGAAGGATCTGGTGAAGGTCTGTATGGAGGAGTGGGCCAAAATCCCTGCTGCAGTGTGTGCAAACCTGGTCAAGACCTACAGGAAACGTATGATCTCTGTAATTGCAAACAAAGGTTTCTGTACCAAATATTAAGTTCTGCTTTTCTGATGTATCAAATACTTATGTCATGCAATAAAATGCAAATTAATTAATTAAAAATCATACAATGTGATTTTCTGGATTTTTGTTTTAGATTCCGTCTCTCACAGTTGAAGTGTACCTATGATAAAAATTACAGACCTCTACATGCTTTGTAAGTAGGAAAACCTGCAAAATCGGCAGTGTATCAAATACTTGTTCTCCCCACTGTACATGACAGAGATAATAAAAAGTGATGGATCTTTAAGATAAAACGCACAAGCCTTGAAAGTGTCGAAAGTGGTCACTCCGTGTTCGAAACATCTAAAACCAAGAGCTAATGTTAGCATCCAATGTCCTCTTTTAACTTTAGGGTGATGAGTTAGCGTAGTGATGTAGCACGTAACCTTCTCCCTATACTCGCTCAGTCTGTCTCATGTTTGCCTGGCAGATGTTTTGTGGAGTCTTTGTGTTGACTTGAGAGGTTGTTTACCGAAGCAGCTGAGTCTGTTTCCTGGATGCCCTTCTCTTAGTCATAGCAGCCTCTCAGGAGAAAAGAACATTGGCTTGGAGAAAAACAGCTTTTCCTCCTTTGTCCTATGGCAAACAACTCACTGGCTCCCAGCCATCAAAGACAGGGTCCATACTTTAGAAAAAGTTTTACGTTTAAATTTGTTACAGGAAATCATCACTGCCTGCTGGTCAGGTTAGCATAGGGCTAAATGTTCCAGGTTATCTAATGGTAACAGCTAACATGTAGCGTTGTATCACGTGCAACTACGTCAACGATTGTAATTGGCTTATGCACATTTTGAGACAGAATTTAAAAAAAACTTTTTATAATGTTTGCAGGTATGGACACAGAGCGTCATAGAGTACTGATAGTGTGATGTTCTGTGTGTTGAATAACCTCAGAAAACTACACACACGCACATCCCACACACCTTCCGCGATCATAATCTACTTAGTGTGCAATAACTCCACAGACTTCGCCTCAATTACAGTGTTTTTCTTAAATGTTTCTGTATGCACGTATTGTACAGCACGTCCCACAGCTAAAAGATCCGATTCGATACAGAGCTACACAATTAGGGAGGAGATTGGAGGAAAAGAGATACTTATACAAGAGATTCCATTGGTTTATCATGAATCATCTTAACTGTAGCTCATGTTAGGTGACGCCTTGATCAGTTATTACTACATAGTGCTACAGTACTTGATTTTAGACCAGCTTCATATTCTAGTAAGCTGTTGGTTTGTTGCAGATGGTCTTATAGCTGTGTAGTAACATTGTAGTGACTACTGTATGATCATGTTGTGACATTAGTCATTTCATTGTTTTGTAATTGTATAGTCATGGAGTTAAACAGTTAATATTGTTACACATTTTAAATATAGGTCTATTTAAAGTAGTCGAAGGTTATGGTTGCGTCCCAATATTCTATTTTCTCCAAAAGTGTGCACGTGTTCACTTCCCTTCATGGATTTGAAAGGAAATGACTGGTATATGGAAACTCCCTCTAGCCCATGTCTTCACCAATCCCATACTTTTAAATGTGTGGGGAGTAGTGAACGAGTGGATACTTCAGGAAGAAGGAGAGATTATCGGGACTCAACCTATATATTGTGAGAGTACACTGAGAGCAAATGTGCACTACCACATTGGGTCTCTTTGTGCTTCAGGGACTTAAAAGCACACTACTTGATAATGAATAAATTAACAAAAACTACTATTACAGTAATTTTGCCTGTCTCATTTTTATCTTGGCTGACTAAAGTAAATTATCCTACCGTAGGTTTCTTAGCAACAAAGCACGGCCACATACTTGTTCTTTATTCATTTATATGCCTTTTGAAGAAAATACACCTGGTTTTCTATATCAAAGATCCCGCTAGTTCTTTGAAGTTTTTTCACACAGATATGCTGTGTTGTACTGAAATAATGGCTTTTCAGAAGTCATTTAGAGAGGGCAGAGAGAGAGAGAGAGAGAGAGGAGGAGAGAGAGGAGAGAGCGAGAGGAGAGAGAGAGATTAGAGAAGAGAAGAGAGAGAGAAGAGAGAAGAGAGAGAGAGCGAAGATGAGAGAGAGGAGAGAGAGAGGGGTAGAAGAGAGGAGAGAGTGAGTAAGCGCTTCTATCTTTCTTCTCTCTCTCTCTACACGCTCTTATCTCTTCTCTCTATCTCTCCTCTCTCTCTCTCTATCTCTCTATGCCCTCTCTCTCTGCCCTCTCTCTCTGCCCTCTTCTCTCTGCCCTCCTTCTCTCTGCCTCTCTCTTCTTGCCCTCTCATCTATATCTCTGGCTTCTCTGCCCTCTCTCCTGCCCTTCTCTCTGCCCTACCTCTCTCTCTCTCTCTCTTCTGCTCTCTCTTCCTCTATCTCTCTTCTCCGTTTTCCTCCTATCTCGCCATTTCCCTTTCACTGCAGTGGTACATGCGAGAGCAGAGGGGCTGCTAAACACATGGGCCGTTGGGTTTGCGGTGTGTGTTTGCAGTGTGTGTGTTTGGTGTATCTCCTGCTGTGGGGAGAGGAGTAGAGGCATTGGGACACAGGTTATCAGAATGAAGACTTCTCCACAGCAATGATCTCTTACTGCAGCAGTAATGATAGTCCTTCACCTGGAGAAAAACACCACAAACCAAGGCCCTCAGGCACACGCACACACACAGAGCTAACCATTGCGGGAGATGAGGTGGTATTATAAGAGATGTCTCTCAAAGAAAAGCTACTGCTCTACCGCTGTTTGTCTACCTGAGGAAAAACTCAGAGACAGGCATGACTGGAATAGTCATTTACCAACACAAGACGGGTATGGGTGGTCCTCTGTAGCTCAGCTGGTAGAGCACGGCGCTTGTAACGCCAAGGTAGTGGGTTCGATCCCCGGGACCACCCATACACAAAAAAATAAAAAATAATGTATGCACGCATGACTGTAAGTCGCTTTGGATAAAAGCGTCTGCTAAATGGCATATTATTATGTTATAATAATAATAATAATAATAATAATAAGACTTCCAAAGCAACAAAACAATAGCTGCTCACTTTTAAGCCTTACCCACCTCAAGTTAATTTAGCAAGAAAGCAGCATTGTCCAATGGGTAACATATTGACTGTATGGACATTGGAACATAGCCCCAGTGGAGGTTCCCATCATCATGACTTGACTACTGGGTCAAAGGTCAGCTCACCTGCTCCAGTTTCCAGTGGAACTCTGCGGGGCGGAAGGTGTCAACCTGGGTGAAGTCTCTCCTGAGTAGGAACACCAGACGGCAGTTGTGGACGTACAGGGAGTAGTGGTGCCTGTTCATCTCTGCACAAGGATACGGAAATGTTACATACAATTGGTAATTACATGTATCTTATAACATTCATAATGCCATAATTTCCTATGCCAGAACAGAAATATTCTCTATTGTCATTCACAGAAAAACATATATACTTTACTTCTACTGTATGACATTTACATTTTATTGGACCTTATCCGACTATATTATAAATGATATTGGACCTTATCTGACTATTTTATATATTGGACCTTATCCGACTATATTATATATATTGGACCTTATCCGACCAAAAAGCTATATTCCAGTTAAGTGTGACAATAAATTATATTCTACAAATGCTCTCCTAAAGCGGTGCTCTATCTAAAAGGATGTCTGTCATTATGGGCAAAGGGGCTTGTTGGTGCGATACGTCCTGTAAATGCTATTGACATGTGCCGATAAATGTTACATGCTCCCTGTGACATTGTGGCATCATAACCCCCCCTCCGTGCTTTTCCTGGGAGCCGCTGGGGTGACAAAGGGCTCTTTTGGCCATGCGTATTGATGGACCCTCCTTTGCTCTCAGTGTGAGCGGAGTGATCGATGGGATCAATAAGAGCCTGTCAGGCTGCCTGTCTCCAGCCAAACCCTCACAGCTTCACTCAATCTAACTCTGGAACTAGAAGTGGTCAGCAGCCAACAAAACAACCTGTGCATCTACGTGACTACGCCATCACCCCAAAACAACTGTGTGAATCCTTTCTGAAAGCACTGTACGTGACTACGCCACCTCCACCACCATAAAGTCCTGGTTTCATGAACAATGACCTAGGATGGACCAAATCTCCCAACTCAACCCCTTCCTGTTCTCACCGGTCTTGTCGGAGTTGCAGAGCAGGGTCTCCTTCTCAGCCCTCAGACCGAGGCTGGGCCCGTGCTTCATCCATGTGGCGATGGTGAACTGGTCAGTCAGGTTCTGTGGAACCACCCGCTCCGGCACGTTGGCTGCCTGCCGCCCGTCGAAGCGGAAGATGAGGTCGCAGTCCCGCCCGCTGTCCGTCAGCAGTGAGGCCGTCCAATTGGTGGATGCGCTGGGGGCGGGGAGGAGGTCTGTGCTGCCGGACGCCGCACCTAGAGGACAAATTGAAAACGAGTACAATCAGTCAGTGACATTTTGACACACGAAAAGTGTCACCAGGTTAAAAGGAGACTGATCAGATTCAGAATCACCTTTATTCACCAAGTACATTTACACATACTCAGAACTTTACTTGGTGATATGGTGCTGCTAGTGATAGGCAACATTTAGAGACAGAATACAGACAATGGAGTTTAAACAAAGTTTCCATACAACTAGGTAGAGTGAGCATAGAGCTGTAAGATAATGAGCAGATATATACAGTGGATGTACACATTTACTGACACAGTATTTGTAACATTTGAATTGGAAGATTGGAAGTTATCTAAAACCCTCTAGTCCTACGATGTCCATGCAGGGTGTCGTGAGTTTAGAACGCAACAGTACAGAAATAGGATGTGGAACTGTTGCGGAACGGAAAAGTATTCGATGGTTAAGGTATTTGACATCTGTCTCTTCTCACCACAACATCACCCTCTCCATGTCACACGAGGTGACAGTCTGAAGCTGATGAGTGGTGAATGACCGTATGTTAGGACACTTGGTTCTCTCCACCAAATTCCCACCCTGCCCACCACTCAGAAGAAACAAGTTGGCTCTTTTAAGCTATACAACATTTATGTCTGTCAACTGATAGACCAGCATAAATACACACCCAGGCCTCTTAACCCTCTCAGGACTTTCACTGGGATCGTGAGAAGTAGATGAGATTCAGTCTCACACTCTCACTCAGAGGGCCTTTGTCAAATCCATGACACCTGTCTTCTTTTCATCGGTTTAGTTTCCACCAGCCCACGTCTGGCCATAGGAACTATGAATACATCACACTTTCAACCTTTCTCTGCTTAGGAAATAAAGTATGGTTTTTTAAAAACAAACTATTCATAATGGGCCGTAGGATGTTGTTTGTTTATTCTTAAGTGGCTCTAAAAAAAAAATATGGTGGCCCTCTTGAGCAAGCTCTGTTCACTCTATTTACAGTATGTGTACCGATATTTGTACTCTCACAGAAATCAATGTTGCTCGGTAAAAAAAGGTAACACTTTATTTGGATAGTCCATTTGTAGATAATCTACAGACTATCAGTAACATTTTAACTAACTATCCTAACCTTAACCCTTACCCTAACCCTTATTCTAAACCTAACCATAACCCTAACCTTAGCAAGCAGTTTCTTATCAACACATAGTTTGTTGATAGTGTGAACATCTGTAGAGCATCTACAGATGGGAAATGCGGACTATCCAAATAAAGTGTGACATTTTTTAAATTTAATTTAAATTTAAAGAAAAATTTATAGCTCCTGGCTTGCAAACTTTGCATTCTAAAGAAGTAGGGAAATCCAAATGAGTATATTAAGTATGCGTGTGTAGCCATTGTTACTCAAACACTTAAAGAGTTGACCAATGAACTGTTATTGCTGCATATTGAATTGTTCAAACCAACCATACCACGCTTCTGTTTTTCACAAAAGGAAAATAAATCCAAGGAAGAATATTGTACAAATCTGAGACATTTCACATTTTCAACTCTTCACAATGAACATTTTCACATGAGCAGATTTCTCCACAGAATGATTAATAAAAATGATTCATAAGGTTGATTTAATATATACTTTTCTATGTGTTACAAATTACAATTAAATACCTCTACTTGTTTATAATTTGACTGTTAAATCTTGGTGTGAATCAACGTGGCAGAAAATGTGAAATTAGAGTAGATAATTGGAAACCATTAATGGGACGCAATTGTCTGTATGACTTCACTAGTCATAAGTGTAATTAACGAATTACACGTTGTGCAAATGCACACAGGTTGAAATGTTATAGGTACATTTTATTATTTTAACCCTTTCCTTGTTAATTGGCTTACCACAGAGTTTCTGCAGGGACTTCTCGGAGTAGGTCTCTCGGTCGCAGCCCTTCCCAATGTGGCTGGTCTGCAGCTCCACCATTGCTCTCACCGCCGACAACGGGCTGTCACACGTCTCCAGGTGCATCTTGGGAAACAGCTGCTTACTTCCTGTCCCGGGATCATAGTCCACTTGTTTGTTCCAGCCTGGGAGAAAGAGAGTTGAATATTATTGTAGTTTATTATTCCCAATAGAAAATGTATTTGTCCAAATGCTTAGAAGGCTCATTCAGATCCCAAGGCTAGCTTGTTAGCGCAACACTACACTAAACTCTTTTAACATCCTTGTGCTACTGTAGACACAAACATTTCATTTTTATTTTATTTTATTACTTATAAAACAGAACTACTAAATAAAATAAAATCACCTAGAAATGATAAATGCATTCAGCCACTGGCCAATTCAGTCTCTCCTACTGTTATATTATTTACCACTTGTTCTGGTCCTGTATGGCTCAGTCTGTAGAGCATGGCGCTTGCACCGCCAGGGTTGTGGGTTCGATTCCCGGGGCCACCCATACGTAAAATGTATGAAAGCATGACTATAAATCGCTTTGGATTACAATCGTCTGCTAAAAGGCATATATTATTAGATATTATTCTGGTTTGATATTCACTTTGCATGAAGGTCAGTCCTATCCTTCGCTAGGCTAGCTCTAGCACAGCGACCATACTACAGAGGCAAAGGGTTCCGCTGAATACCCCTGAATTGAAGGCATCACGGAGCACACCTCACTAAAGCCGAAAGGTGACAGGTGACTTCACACACCAAGGACCATAGGAAGAAGTGAGGTTCTGATACAGGAGGCTATGCTACGCTAACTGCTAACCAACCGTGCTCACTAATCCATGTCACACAGTTGAGTGTTGGCAACACGTATGACAGGGATCTGCTATCATGGCCTTCCCAATCAAACCAATAACCCTTATCTGACACAAAAAGAAAGAAAGGATGTCCTGTCTGAGCTTAAATTGAATTCAGGTGTTAGACTACTCATTGAAATGTTTCTCGTGTAGCTAACATTACAATGCTACAATGACAAACACGCTAACATATCACCACAAAGGGATTAATTTGACATGAATAACTGCCCAATTATGTCACAAACAACATATCTCTCATATTACTGACTGGCAGACCAAGTTCAGCTCACTCCAGGTAAGACATTCTACTTCAGAGAGTGTCTTTATCAAAGGGATGTGTAGACCAGGCAGGCCTTTTCACCAACACAGGCAATATGAGAGTCAAATCGCCTCTGCTGATTGGGCCAGAAGAATCACAGAATCGCAGTAGGAAGAGAATTGGGGGGAATAGAATTGGAAAATAAGTGGAACAGTAGAATAAGAAAAGGAGTGTGGATGTGGAATAAAATAAGAATACATTTGAAGTGCTGAGGCAATATCGTCAGAAGAAGTCTAGAGTGACGTTGATGGTTCTCTACCAGAACAAAGTGATTTGCCAGATTACCAGGAAATGGCGAGAGAATGGGATGGGCGGCTGGAAAGATCAACCATGATAGGTGGCATATGACCAGAGAGATGGAGAGAGCGGAAGAAAGATTGGAGAGAGAGGGGGAGATAGAGAGAAGGTAGATGTAGTAAGAGAGAGAACGAGAGCGATGGTGGAAGACAGAGAACGCGAGAGTAGAATTACATGCTTAAAGAACATAACAGCTCTAGTGCGGGAAGCCCTCCCCACCCATCGGCTTAATCTGTCATCTTTGTCACCCAGTTTATATTTCGATTACCCTCCATATGTATCTGTGAGCCGCACCAGGTCTTCTTTATAGTCTAGGGAGCAGTAATGGCCATTTTATTGCTGTGTGTGGAGCAGAGAGTTGACAGCTGTCGAGTCTGTTCCGTGATATATTCAAGGTCAAACACTCAGAGAAATAAATGACATGACCAGGGAGAGGCAGACAGAGAGAGGATGTTGTTAGAACAGGTTTATTGTCATGAATCTTGCCCTGTGCCAGCTAGTGACCACTCTGCAGAGCTGCCTCCAGGGCAAGATTCATTACAATAAATGTCAACCTAATGGAACAACTCTGGACACATTTCAAGCCACATTTCCAGCAAGAGGAATCACACACTGTCTTTAAAGATGCAATATGCGATTGCTGCATCCAGTTTTTGGACTTCTAAATTAATGATAAACACTGAGTGTACAAAACAAGCCAACTTGACACAAATGTGGGAAGCATTGGAGTCAACATGGGCCAGCATTCCTGTGGAACACTTTCGACTCCTTGTAGAGTCCATGCCCCGAGGAATTGAGGCTGTTCTGAGGGCAAAAGGGGGGGGGGGGGTACAACTCAATATTAGGAAGGTGTTCCTAATGTTTTGTACACTCAGTGTATATACCCAATGGTTCTTCAAGAATATTACTTATAAATGCCTCTTAAACTTAGTTAATCAGAACCCAAAATATACACTTGTTTTACTCTACTGTTTGTAAACATTGTAATTCTAAACAAACGCTGTACAGCCTTAAAAATTGTTAAAACTATAATTTTGATATCATCGATGGTCACTCTTTGCATCCATCCCTCAGCTTTTTACCAAAACAGTGGAGGTGTGGCCATTTTGTAATTGTTTGCCCTTTTAAGAAAGGAGTGATTTCTTCTAATTGGGTGAAGGTGAAATATCCTGCGCATGTTCCTGCTCTCTGTCTCCCCAGCCTTTCTCCTCCTGACGTAGCCTACTGACATCTGACAGGGAAGCAGTGAGGGACCCTGTCCGCTTATAAAGCTTTTCACTATGTACATGCTACAGTAGTCCGAGACAAGATCCAGTCAAGTTCCCCAGACACCAATAAGCTTTATTCTAAAACGGGATATGCTTATAGCCCCTCTCCTTTCTTCTCTCCCCCATCTATCCTTCTCGCTCTCTCTCGCTCTTTCTCTCTGTGTCTGGAATGCCGCTGTATCCCCCTCTCCCCTTCTCCACAGGGGCCATTGACCTGGATTGTTCGGGTAAACAGAGTCGAGTCGAGGAAAACTGTAAGATCCAGAGCCAGGAGTGTTATCATCCACAGGGATGATGAGGGCTCTTTTTTCTCTGAGAGTAGACTGCTGTGGCATATGGGTGCAGATGGAGGAAAGAACAGTCCAATGCGAACGCAGAGACACCAATAGTGCTGCTGCAAGTAAGCACCCCGAGTCATGCCTGCGACCATTTTGTGAGGAGTAAAGGAAGGTTTATTGGGAGCGTCCGAGGTTAAGTTGGCCCTAACTGCTGGTCAAGAATCAGGAGGCCCCAATCCCAGCCTGACCTTGGTCTTTGTGTACCAGCTGTGTAGACTGTCTGGTACGTTCATCTGCAACAAAAAAAACTAAAATGTATTTCACTCTGAGTGGAAGCAATTGATTTCTGCTGCTCTTCACCAGACACAATGTGCTTCTAACTTTGGGGAACCCACAGTACTTATCAAATGATTAGCAACCTGTTAGTAGTATCTTTTGGGATCTGCAACTCAGATCTACGCAGTGTGTGTACAGACAGTCTTCTCCTTTGATTAGACTGACCTTGCCAGCCAGGTTTGCAGACGGGCTTGACGTCAATGTGCACCGCCACACTCTCCGTCGCCCTCTTCTGGCCGCAGTCGAAGGCGGTTACCATGACCTCGTATCGCTGCTTCTTGTCGTAGCTCAGACGCTCCGTGTTTCTGATGTTGCCTAGAGAAGGAAAAGAGAAAAAATATAATAAATAAATAATAATAATATGTAAATATAATAAATAAATATGTAAATATAATAAATATGTAAACATGAATGATAAAAAAAACTGTGACGGATGCACTGATAGTCACTGATATCTTCTGCAAATAGATTGTATTTCTGGAGTCAAAGAATAAACCTATTTCTTCGCCAACAATTGATTTTACTGAGTTCCTTTTCCATCTAAATCTGCAATGCTCATCAGACTCTACGCTCTTAGAAAAAAAGGTCCCAAAATAGTTATTTGGCTGTCCCCATAGGAGAACCCTTTTTGGTTCAGGGAGAACCCTTTTTGGTTCCACATAAAACCCTTTTGGGTTCCTTGTAGAACCCTCTGTGGAAATGGTCCTACATTGAACCCAAAAGGGTTCTATCTAGAACCAGAATGGTTCTACCTGGAACCAAAAAGGGTTCTTCAAAGGGTTCTCCTATGGGTACAGCCGAAGAACCCTTTTAGGTTCTAGATAGCTCATTTTTTTCTAAGAGTGTACCATATAAGTGAGTTTGAATTTGTTTTCTCACCTTCCCTATACTCAGTCTATTTTCAGTGTACTCGCTAGCAGCCTCTATAGCCAGTTTCGTTGTCTGAGAGTATGCCAGTGTACGGATCATAGAGATGGAGCACTAGAGAGGAATTATGGTTCAGGGTCCTATGATTACAGCCTCTTTATAGTTATATCTCTATGGTCCTGATGCTGTAAAGGAGACAGTGGAGAGGAGAGGTAAGGAGAGGTCAGGAGCAGTGTAAGCCCTCAAACCTGGACAGCTCCACTCTCAGATGGGCACTACAAACTTGATGTTTCCTGGAAAAGGAAGATATCTCAGTCTCTCACTTCCTTCTGTGAATCTGCGTCGGAGCGTTAGTGGTATGCTGTAGTGCTGATTGTGGTGATTCATGTCATGCAGTGAATCAAAAGGAGGCTTTTATTCAGATGAAACACTGTACTGTAGTTCCCTACAAGCAATCAGAACGCTATGGCTGAATCCTAACTTAAGATGTGCAGGCATTACTCATTATTTTGCGGAAATCTCCCATTGATTCTACCCTAAATGACACTTTAGGGAAGTGAGGAGAGATGGCATTGTTTTTCTTTAATTGAATGCGATACATGCAACTGTGATACATCTAATACCATGATAGAACCTGACCCAGACAGGGTATACTGTAGGTTACAAATGAGACATCACCAGTGACAGCTAACAGGCCCCATTTACATGATGGAGCTCTGGTCCCAGCCTCATCTCCCATTCCTGTCCCAATGTGTAGTCTCTGAGTGAAATAGGGCAACTGTCAATATGTGTGTGTGTGTGTGTGTGTGTGTGTCTGCGGTCCAACTCATCCCAAACCATCTCAATTGGGTTGAGGTCGGGTGATTTATGGAGGCCAGGTCATCTGATGCAGCACTCCATCACTCTCCTTCTTGGTCAAATAGCCCTTACAACACAGCCTGGAGGTGTGTTGGGTCATTGTCCTGTTGAAAAACAAATGATAGTCCCACTAAGTGCAAACCAGATGGATGTCGTATCGCTGCAGAATGCTGTGGTAGCCATGCTGGTTAAGTGTGCCTAGAATTCTAAATAAATCACAGACAGTGTCACCAGCAAAGCACCCCCACGCCATCACACCTCCTCCTCCATGCTTCACGGTGGGAACCACACATGAGGAGATCATCCGTTCACCTACTCTGCGTCTCACAAAGACACGGCGGTTGGAACCAAAAATCTCAAATTTGGACTCATCAGACCAAAGGATAGATTTCCACCGGTCTAATGTTTCTTGGCCCAAGCAAGTCTCTCCTTCTTATTGGTGTCCTTTAGTAGTGGTTTCTTTGCAGCAATTAAACCATGAAGGCCTGATTCACGCAGTCTCCTCTGAACAGTTGATGTTGAGATGTGTCTGTTACTTGAACTCTGTGAAGCATTTATTTGGGCTGCAATTTCTGAGGCTGGTAACTCTAATGAACTTATCCACTGCATCAGAGGTAACTCTGGGTCTTCCTTTCCTATGGCGGTCCTCATGAGAGCCAGTTTCATCATAGCGCTTGATGGTTTTTGCGACTGCACTTGAAGAAACTTTCAAAGTTCTTGAAATGTTCCGTATTGACTGACCTTCATGTCTTAAAGTAATGATGGACTGTCATTTCTCTTTGCTTATTTGAGCTGTTCTTGCCATAATATGGACTTGGTCTTTTACCAAATAGGGCTATCTTCTGTATACCCCCCTACCTTGTCACAACACAACTGATTGGCTCAAACGCATTAAGAAGGAAATAAATTCCACAAATTAACTTTTAAGAAGGCTGTTAATTGAAATGCATTCCAGGTGACTATCTCATGAAGCTGCTTGAGAGAATGCCAAGAGTGTGCAAAGCTGTCATCAAGGCAAAGGGTGGCTATTTGAAGAATCTCAAATATAAAATATATTTTGATTTGTTTAACACTTTTTTTGGTTACTACATGATTCCATATGTGTTATTTCATAGTTTTGATGTCTTCACTTTACAGCCCTCTAACCATTTGTACTATTATGTGTGTTTTTCCGCGTTATTTGTAATTTATTTTGTACATAATGTTTCTGCCATCGTCTCTTATAACCAAAAAGAGCTTCTGGATATCAGGACAGCGATTACTCACCTCGTATTGGACGAAGATTTTTTCTTCAACGAGGCGGCCGCGAAGGATATCATACAGACACCCGACAAGGCCCAAATCCCCGTCATTCGCGTGAGGAAGAGACGGAGATATCGTGGACGTAGATCGGGGTGCCTTGTAAGGATCCGACGGCGAGCGAGTAAACTGCCTCTTCCATCAATCCTATTAGCCAATCTTCAATCATTGGATAACAAATTGGATGACCTAAGATTACGGTTATCCTACCAACGGGACATTAAAAACTGTAATATCCTATGTTTCACAGAGTCGTCGCTGAACGACGACAATGATAACATACAGCTAGCGGGCTATACGCTACATCGGCAGGATAGAACGGCTGACTCCGGTAAGACAAGGGGTGGCGGTCTGTGTATATTTGTAAACAACAGCTGGTGCACAAAATCAAATACTAAGGAAGTCTCGAGGTTTTGCTCGCCTGAGGTAGAGTATCTTATGATAAGCTGTAGACCACACTATTTACCAAGAGAGTTTTCATCTATATTTTTCATAGCTGTCTATTTACCACCACAAACCAATGCTGGCATTAAGATTGCACTGAATGAGATGTACAAGGCCATAAATCAACAGGAAAACGCTCATCCAGATGCAGCGCTCCTAGTGGCCGGGGACTTTAATGCAGGGAAACTTAAATCCGTTCTACCTAATTTCTACCAGCATGTTAAATGTGCAACCAGAGGGAAAAAAAACTCTAGACCACCTTTACTCCACACACAGAGACGCATACAAAGCTCTCCCTCGCCCTCCATTTGGCAAATCTGACCATAACTCTATCCTCCTGATTCCTGCTTATAAGCTAAAACTAAAGCAGGAAGCACCAGTGACTCGGTTAATAAAAAAGTGGTCAGATGACGCAGGACTGTTTTGCTAGCACAGACTGGAACATGTTCCGGGATTCTTCAGACAGCATTGAGGAGTACACCACATCAGTCACTGGCTTCATCAATAAGTGCATCGATGATGTCGTCCCCACAGTGACCGTACGTACATACCCAAACCAGAAGCCATGGATTACAGGAAACATCCGCACTGAGCTAAAGGGTAGAGCTGCCGCTTTCAAGGAACGGGACTCTAACCCGGACGCTTATAAGAAATCCCGCTATGCCCTCCGACGAACCATCAAACAGGCAAAGAGTCAATACAGGGCTAAGATTGAATCGTACTACACTGGCTCTGACGCTCGTCGGATGTGGCAGGGCTTGAAAACTATTACAGACTACAAAGGGAAGCACAGCCGCGAGCTGCTCAGTGACACAAGCCTACCAGACGAGCTAAACCACTTCTATGCTCGCTTCGAGGCAAGCAACACTGAAGCATGCATGAGAGCACCAGCTGTTCCGGATGACTATGTGATCACGCTCTCCGTAGCCGATGTGAGATTCACAAGGCCGCAGGGCCAGACGGATTACCAGGACATGTACTCCGAGCATGTGCTGACCAACTGGCAAGTGTCTTCACTGACATTTTCAACATGTCCCTGACTGAGTCTGTAATACCAACATGTTTCAAGCAGACCACCATAGTCCCCGTGCCCAAGGACTCTAAGATAACCTGCCTAAATGACTACCGACCCGTAGCACTGACGTCTGTAGCCATGAAGTGCTTTGAAAGGCTGGTCATGGCTCATATCAACAGCATTATCCCAGAAACCCTAGACCCACTCCAATTTGCATACCGCCCCAACAGATCCACAGATGATGCAATCTCTATTGCACTCCACACTGCCCTTTCCCACCTGGACAAGAGGAACACCTACGTGAGAATGCTATTCATTGACTACAGCTCAGCATTCAACACCATAGTGGCCTCTAAGCTCATCACTAAGCTAAGGATCCTGGGACTAAACACCTCCCTCTGCAACTGGATCCTGGACTTCCTGAGGGGCCGCCCCCAGGTGGTAAGGGTAGGTAACAACACATCTGCCACACTGATCCTCAACATGGGGGCCCCTCAGGGGTGTGTGCTCAGTCCCCTCCTGTACTCTCTGTTCACCCATGACTGCATGGCCAGGCACGACTCCAACACCATCATTAAGTTTGCCGAAGACACAACAGTGGTAGGCCTGATCACCGACAACGATGAGACAGCCTATAGGGAGGAGGTCAGAGACCTGGCCGTGTGGTGCCAGGACAACAACCTCTCCCTCAACGTGACCAAGACAAAGGAGATGATTGTGGACTATAGGAAAAAAAAGAGGACTGAGCACGCCCCCATTCTCATCGACGGGGCTGTAGTGGAACAGGTTGAGAGCTTCAAGTTCCTTGGTGTCCACATCACCAACGAACTATCATGGTCCAAACACACCAAGACAGTCGTGAAGAGGGCACGACAAAGCCTATTCCCCCTCAGGAGACTGAAAAGATTTGGCATGGGTCCTCAGATCCTCAAAAAATTCTACAGCTGCACCATCGAGAGCATCCTGACTGGTTGCATCACCGCCTGGTATGGCAACTGCTTGGCCTCCGACCGCAAGGCACTACAGAGGGTAGTGCGTACGGCCCAGTACATCACTGGGGCCAAGCTTCCTGCCATCCAGGACCTCTATAGTGTCAAGTCTAGGTCCAAAAGACTTCTCAACAGCTTCTACCCCCAAGCCATAAGACTCCTGAACAGCTAATCATGGCTACCCAGACTATTTGCACTGCCCCCCCCCCCCCCACCCCATCCTTTTTACGCTGCTGCTACTCTGTTAATTATTTATGCATAGTCACTTTAACTCTACCCACATGTACATATTACTTCAACTATCTCAACTAGCCGGTGCCCCCGCACATTGACTCTGCACCGGTACCCCCCTGTATATATAGCCTCCCTACTGTTATTTTATTTTACTTCTGTTCTTTTTTTCTCAACACTTTTTTTGTTGTTGTTTTATTTTTACTTTTTTGTTAAAAATAAATGCACTGTTGGTTAAGGGCTGTAAGTAAGGATTTCACTGTAATGTCTGTTGTATTCGGCGCATGTGACCAATACAATTTGATTTGATTTGATTTGATTCACTATTATTTTACAATGTAGAAAATAGTAAAAATAAAGAAAAACCCTGGAATGAGTAGGTGTGTCCAAATATTTGACTTGTACTGTAAATCTGCAACCATTAAAACTATCACACACTACAGCTCTCCAGGACCTGATTCTCAAGTTCACCATTCTTTGAGGTGTATGTCTAACAACAGAAGATTACATTTACTTTTTTACTCCAACAGGATTATTGAACTCATTTCTATAGATACTGTATATAAGGGGATATTTACCAACTGGTTGAGAGACATGATTATTAAAAGGACTTCTTTATATCCGAAGTAGTGCTCTGTTCATGTGTTCCAGTGGTTAGTCTCTCCTTTCCTCACTCACTCCATCTCTCTCCCTCCATCTCTCTCCCTGAGCTACAGAGGGCAGACAGGCCTGTTTGATTTAATAACTTACTCAGGCCTCTGATCCACGGTTAATGATGGAGCCAGAAGCCCCCTTGGTATAAAACACACTCTGACGGCCCCCCAAGCATCACTACGCTCAGCTCTATTTGAGCACCACAAGTGCCAGTCACACTGCAGAGCCTGGGAGTGCCATAGGAAGCAAGGCGACTGGCGGCCGTGGAGCTGGCATGGCGGACGGGAGCCAGAAAAGTGCCAACCTGCTGTCCCTTCGGGGTCACAGAGGGGCCTGAGCCGTGCCAGAGGACATCAGAGGTACCAGACAGGGAGGAAGAGAGAAAGGGAGGGAATGAGAAAGAGAGAGAGAGAAGGAGAGAGAAAGGAAGGAAGAAACAGAGAAACAGAAAAAGAAAGAGAGATAAAGGGAGAGAGGAAAGCAAGAGGAGAGAGGCTAGCAGAGATGGCAAGCTGTGGAGTATCTGATGTAATTTTGGCCTGTCTGCTCCACTAGTCCTTGTGTTCCCGCTGATCCCACAGAGCTGGATCCAGTTTCAGATCACTCTGTATAACACTGCACTGCTGTGATCAGAGGATGAATGGGGAAGCACTTGGGGAGTCCATGAATACAGCACACTGACAAATGGCGTGAGAGATGTGCTTTGAATAGAATTAACTAAGTTCAGTGGGTTGGAGAAGAATTCTGGCAACAGCAACTTTGTGGGTTCAATTTCCGCATGGGCCACGTGTACTGACTGTGAATGGACTGTAACTCGATCTAGATACAAACTTCTGCTATTGACTGTATAAAAATGATGCCTAGCCAATTTGATGGCCTGAGGAACAGTTTGTGTCATCGCTGTTACGGAAAGTAAAGTGTAACCAAGTTGACCTCTGTGATGGAGTTGACATTGTTTCCTGAGCGCTGAATGAAGAGTGTGTGGAGAGAGCCAAAATAAAATGATTTGATCTAATGCAAGGTCGGGATGAGAAGAGAATGGTTGTGCCTTTTACCTGCAGGTTGTGTGGTCAGGGGATGGGGGTTAGAATTCACTGACCGTTGCGGTCGATGGCGAAGGGCGTGTCGGAGGTGACAATGTCGTAGTTGCAGATCTGGCTGTACTGCGGGGAACAGTCCTGGTCCCAGGCCTCTACCTGCAGGATGCTGTCATAGATCTTCCCTTCCATTACTGCAGCGTGGTACACAGGCTCCCGGAACACAGGAGAGAACTCATTTACGTCATCTACCTGGATGTGAACCACTGCCCTGGAGAGAGGGAGGGGAGACAGAGAGAATAAAGCAGTAAGACAGGATATCTGTCTTACTGCTTTGATACTCTTTCTTCCAACATGACACAATTTGATACTCTTTCTTCCAACATGACACAATAAGTACTAATGATTACAAAATACTCAACGTCCTCAAACCCAAACCCCCACTAAACCCTCAAAAACAGAAACAACAAACCATAACATACAAAACAAATCCCCTCACAATCTCATGACCAGCTGAGAGAACAAGAGAGAGAAACATGAGAGCAAGGGGGCATACAGTACAGACAAAACCAAATCCTGCTTTTCACTGATAGTTGTACTGTAAAAAAGGTTGGTAGTGATTCAAGGTTTTTGCCCCGGAGCGAATGAGAGATATCCACACCACATTTAGGTTGGTTCAGGGCCAACACTAAAGGGCTGAACATAACAAGTCATATTTTCAAAATCTTAGTATTATTTAAATAAGTCCAGTTTCTCAAACTCAACCTATAATTCGTCTGACAATGACCTTGTGTGAAGCAGCAATGGTGGGTCTGCTGTTGTAGCATGCCTTCCTAATTAAAGACATTGACTTAATGAGACCTACTTAGAATGTCCTGCAGTGATGCTGCTTAGCTGAGGCACACACAGTACCATCTCTCTATGTTAACAGACATTCATCAAAGATGCCCTGGCTGTGAAATCCCTCCCTCTCTCTCATACTACTCTCTCTCTGTGTGACAGTATCCGCCTTAGTCATTGCCCTAGAGCACAGCTTTCAATAGCACTTCATCAGAGCAGGGATATAGGGCTTGATTTGCGGTTGTCCACAACTGTCTGGCTCATAAGGATCCTTCAGGCCCTCATTAATTAAAAACATCCCACGAGCTGAACATTGAGCAAGTCTCAGATGTGACTAGGTATTGCACAGTGGATGTGATCTGTCACTGTCTAAGACCATAGCATTGAGGACAACTGTAGGACCCACATACTGTACACTTGGCATGTAGGGCTATATCAGTTTGCTTGTGTAATGCATCATTTTTACAAAAATCGATCTCACACACACACACACATTAAACAAAGATACAAACACAGACGAACACACACACCCTCCGACATTCCCTCCGACACACACACACCAACCCCCGTCCCCGACACACACACCCTTCCTTACTTATGTGACTTCTTCCAGCTGGCCCCACTGGCCCCGGCCCCACAGTCGTAGGCCTGGATGATGAAGGTGTACTCCTTCTGGGTCTCACAGTCCACTGGGCCCTTGGCCCTCAGGACCCCCTCCCCTGACGTCCTGTTCAGGACCACCGCCTCGAACGGGGCCTCCTGCCCGTGGATCTTAAATGCACAGATCTCCCCTGAACAAGAGGAGGAGGAGGAGGAGGAGGAGGAGGAGGAGGAGGAGGGGGGGGAGGAGGGGGGGGAGAAGAGGAACAAGGTAGAGAGAAATAATTAAAGAGTGATAATGGACACTGTGTGTCGAAACTGTCAACCTATTCACAGATCAGACCTGGAAATGTCTCTGCATGCCGCCACTCTGAACACTGCTGTCGAGGACATTGTGTATGTTTTTAGAGATGGTGGCGAAACACAGCTGAGCTGCTAAGAGACTGAAAGAGTGTTCTGCAGTTGTAATTGCCTCGGTTCTGCAGTGTAATTGCCTCGGTGGCATCATGTCGTGCCAGGCCAGACAGGGAGGAGGAAATGCAATTAGTGTTTGCTTAGTTTTTCGATATTCCTCTCTCCAGGCCACCTTCCAGAAAAATAACGTTTTTAAGTCTAATGGTCTCCAATTGGATATATACGAGAGATCATGCTGGTTTGCTATGTCAGCTTTTAATAGCACAAGTGGTGTGATAATCAAGTTCAACTGAAGTTTAATTGTCTGCTGGATATGGTGAGTAATTTTATACAATCGTTTGCTGTAAAAAAAAATCCTCTTTCACTGTACCTTGTTGAATGAGTCAGATTGAAATTGTCATATGTAAGCACGACCTCCCTTATGACACAGAGTGTAGTTGTGCCACAGAGTGTGTGCTTGCCTTGTAAGGGTCTCTGGTTCAAGCCTTGCTACTGACTGCCTCCCACGTTCACTAAACTGGTGTCAGAAGTAGGATTGATAACCGGTTTCCTATCATTGGAGGCACAGCAAGAGTTGTGTGAGGGTCTTTTAAGAGAAACACTGGGGAACATTTTCTTTGTGATTGGGTAGGGTGGTAAACCACATCCATTGGACCAACACGTGGTGATCTTGTGAGACTTCCTGAACCTCTTGGTGTAGTAGGTTCACAAATCCCTCCAATCCTCCCTACAATATCCTCAACTTGTTCAGAAGCAATGAAATAGTGGGCAATACACATAGTTCATGAACTTGTTGAAACATCACCTCATATTTGAGTCAGTCACACTGCTGAACACAATTATCTTTGTCAGCATATCTCGCTGACAGAAATTAAATAGGGGCCTGACACCAGACTCGTGTAGTGTCGTCAAGAAGGAAATAAGTACAGATGTACTAGGCCAACTCAACAACTACGCCAACTCAACAACTACGCCAACTCAACAATATACATTTAGTTTCACTCTTTTTCTTTTTTAAATCTTTTTTTTTTTTTACAGGTTTCCGATTCTGGAACAGTCTCTATCTTTCTGTGAGTGTTATTTTCAGGGATTTGGGGAAATGGCCTTAAGGGAAAGCCTAGCCCCCCTGACACAGTGACAGCCGATATCACCTAAACCCCAGCAGGACATCAGGAACAAAAAGTGCCAGGGCTATCCCTTGTGTGCACAAGCCCCACTGCCAAGCTCTGATAAGCCAAACATGCTCTCTCTCTCTCTCTCTCTCTCTTTGCCTCTCACCTCCCCTCCATTTTTTATCCCTCGCTCTTTCTCTCTTTTTTTTTTAGAACTCATTCCACCCGTTCAATTCTCTCTCCATCCGTAGTTGTGAAATAACAATTTTCCCTCTGCGGTCGGCCCGTCCGTGCTGCTGCCTGGGCTTGCAGTTAAAATTTCCCCTCTATATTTCAAAGCCTTATCGAAATTAAACGGCCACCACAATGGGCGGCGAGGTGCGCAGAGGGAGAAAATAATAATCCAAACACTGCGGGCGGTGTGCGAGGGGAAAGATAAGCACATCAAGGCTCTGCACATCCAGCACCGTCCAAATATTTAGTTAGATGGAGAGGGAGGAAGGGGGAGACAATATGAAAATAGCAAAAACAATCATACACTATATATAAAATACACAAACGTACAGAGTATTTGGAATAAAATAAAAACATTTTGACTTAGTCGTTTGGGTCTGATGCACAGCCATTTCTCGCTCCATCTGGTTGGGCACAAATGTATTTTTCTGGGTAAGGGCAAGGAGCCAGGGTCAGGGAACGTATCGATGGGCGCAGTGAGAGAGACATGCCAATGTAAATGTAAATGGTAAAGACAGACAGAGAGATTTCAGGGAAGAAGATTCTTATCGTGTCAGCAGAAGAGCACTTTGCATCTCTCTTGAACACCAATTAGATTGCATCTCACAAGCACTGCCGGGAGATGAGCTCTAATAGTCTGCTATTTACCCTGACTCTCACCATTTTGGGCCTGATCTATTTGGCATATATCCTACAGGAAGTGGATGTTTTCACAGTAAATGTGAAATACAGATTTTGCATGGGACTTGATGGAGTGTGAAGGTGTTTGATCAGTGTTATAGTTTGGTGGGAAGTGTGAGAGTCAGCTGAAATGATTCAGAGAAAAGTCAATCAAATTGAGCCTATTTAATCTCTATTGAACAATTTGAGCTGGAAAAGAGCATTGCTTTTACTGTGCCAGGTGGTATCCAAGCTCACCTCCAATTGAACTTCTGAAATATCAAAACCAAGTCGTACTCCACTGCAATGTGTTTCGTAAAGATCAGGTTACGGTACTTTGGATGTTCTATAAAATGTTCACAGACATCAAACACATGGTTTCATTGTAATTGATACTATTCCATTCACTTCATTACAGTCATTATTATGAGCCGTCCTCCCATCACCAGCCTCCTGTGCCGTCTACTGAAGAAGTGACCTTACTTACTCAATATTTGCACCAGTCTGTGAAAAGTTAGCATCTGCCATTATGATTCTGAACAAACAAAGCTCAAGTGAAGAGTAAAAAAAATAAGCTGAAGCAGTCTTTATTTACATTTTGAATTAAAGTCTAGTTCCTCATCTTTGAAAGTTTTCTGTTTAATCCCTGAAAATTGGTGCAATAATTGGTGCAAACCCTGAGCTAGCCAATCTGGCCTTTAAGGCTGTGTTTACACAGACAGCCCAATACTGATCTTTTTTCATTCATTGGTCTTCTGACCAATCAGATGAGCTCTGAAAAAGATCTGATGTGAAAAGATCTGATGTGATTGGTCAAAAGACCAATTAGTGAAAAAAGATCAGAATTGGGCTGCCTGTGTAAACACAGCCTATAGGCATCTATCTAGGACAGTGACCCCCAAAATCATCCCCATGTCCAAGTCCCCCTTTCCCTCCTACTTAGAAAGAGATTACTTAATCCACCATGTTAATTATCCTCCTTTTAATCAAATGTCACATTCGATTCCCTTTCATGGTGTGTGTTTTGTCTCATCATGATGATGGCGGAGTTTGTGTGTGCGTGTGGAGTGCATGTGTGTATGGAGTGTGTAAGTGTGTGTGGAGTGTGTGTGTGGCTGATTGAAAAGCGGGTCTCTCTTGGCGGCCCTATCGGGAGGCTTATAGTTGCTCATTCTCTCGCCTCTCAGCTAGTGATCTAGCGCTCTCAGAAGAACCCTCGTCCCCTTTCTTTAATTACTCGCTGGAACGACCTGCTGCTAGCGCTCACACACTCCCAAACCAGTGATCTGACACAGACGTGGGAGAATGAGGAAGAGGAAGAAGAGGAAGATGAAGATGAAGAGGTTAAGGGCCTCGCCTCCTTTTCTCTGAGCTCTTCTGCTTTAGCTTTCTGTTGATTTTGATATGCTTTTCTACTGTGTGTCTGGATAATGAGCGGCCCAATGAAGGATGGACTGCTAGCGGATTGCTAGTGGATTCGTCAAACTTACACATTACAGTTGCTAGTTGCTATGGGAGATAAGACAAGTTAGATTTTGAATAGAAGTGTTTGAAATATACTCCACAACAGCCTATTAAAGTAATAGCATTTGCACACAAGCACACACACACACTGCCTGAAGGCAACACTATGGATCAAGCTACAGTGAAGGAAAAAAGTATTTGATCCCCTGCTGATTTTGTACGTTTGCCCACTGACAAAGAAATGATCAGTCTATAATTTTAATGGTAGGTTTGTTTTAACAGTGAGAGACAGAATAACAACAACAAAAAAACGTCCAGAAAAACGCATGTAATTTTTTTTATAAATTGATTTGCATTTTAATGAGGGAAATAAGTATTTGACCCCTCTGCAAAACATGACTTAGTACTTGGTGGCAAAATCCTTGTTGGCAATCACAGAGGTCAGATGTTTCTTGTAGTTGGCCACCAGGTTTACACACATCTCAGGAGGGATTTTGTCCCACTCCTCTTTGCAGATCTTCTCCAAGTCATTAAGGTTTCGAGGCTGACGTTTGGCAACTCGAACCTTCAGCTCCCTCCACAGATTTTCTATGGGATTAAGGTCTGGAGACTGGCTAGGCCACTCCAGGACCTTAATGTGCTTCTTCTTGAGCCACTCCTTTATTGCTTTGGCCGTGTGTTTTGGGTCATTGTCATGCTGGAATACCCATCCACGACCCATTTTCAATGCCCTGGCTGAGGGAAGGAGATTCTCACCCAAGATTTGACGGTACATGGCCCCGTCCATCGTCCCTTTGATGCGGTGAAGTTGTCCTATCCCCTTAGCAGAAAAACACCCCCAAAGCATAATGTTTCCACCTCCATGTTTGAAGGTGGGGATGTTGTTCTTGGGGTCATAGGCAGCATTCCTCCTCCTCCAAACACAGCGAGTTGAGTTGATGCCAAAGAGCTCGATTTTGGTCTCATCTGACCACAACACTTTCACCCAGTTCTCCTCTGAATCATTCAGATGTTCATTGGCAAACTTCAGACGGCCCTGTATATGTGCTTTCTTGAGCAGGGGGACCTTGCGGGCGCTGCAGGATTTCAGTCCTTCACGGCGTAGTGTGTTACCAATTGTTTTCTTGGTGACTATGGTCCCAGCTGCCTTGAGATCATTGACAAGATCCTCCCGTGTAGTTCTGGGCTGATTCCTCACCGTTCTCATGATCATTGCAACTCCACGAGGTGAGATCTTGCATGGAGCCCCAGGCCGAGGGAGATTGACAGTTCTTTTGTGTTTCTTCCATTTGCGAATAATCGCACCAACTGTTGTCACCTTCTCACCAAGCTGCTTGGCGATGGTCTTGTAGCCCATTCCAGCCTTGTGTAGGTCTACAATCTTGTCCCTGACATCCTTGGAGAGCTCTTTGGTCTTGGCCATGGTGGAGAGTTTGGAATCTGATTGATTGATTGCTTCTGTGGACAGGTGTATTTTATACAGGTAACAAACTGAGATTAGGAGCACTCCCTTTAAGAGTGTGCTCCTAATCTCAGCTCGTTACCTGTATAAAAGACACCTGGGAGCCAGAAATCTTTCTGATTGAGAGGGGGTCAAATACTTATTTCCCTCATTAAAATGCAAATCAAATTATAACATTTTTGACATGCGTTTTTCTGGATTTTTGTTGTTGTTATTCTGTCTCTCACTGTTCAAATAAACCTACCATTAAAATTATAGACTGATCATTTCTTTGTCAGTGGGCAAACATACAAAATCAGCAGGGGATCAAATACTTTTTCCCTCACGACATTTCTACAGCAGGACCTCATCCTTTCCTTTCTCACAATAACCTGCAACACCATTTCATATTGTCACAACCAAGGGGCAGTGTTTATTGCCAGTCACGGTGGACAATTCATTAGAATCCCATTGGGCTCTTTCATTAAGATAGGGGACCTCCTAATTGCATTTGGGAGATAGCAGAGCCAACTGTGTGACCCCTGCAGCTAATGCCTAAGAGAGATTCTCGATAATAGGCGATAGATATCTATGAGACAGAGAGAGAGAGAGAGAGAAGAGAGAGAGAGAAGAGGGAGAGAGAGAGAGAGAGAGAAGAGAGAGAGAGAGAGAGAGGAAGAGACGAGCGAGAGAGAGAGAGAGAGAAGAGGAGAAGAGAGGAGGAGAGAGAGAGAGAGATAGAGCGTCGAGTCTGACTCTCTACAGACTCTTCTCATAGCTCTCTCTCTCTCTCCACTCCTCCCTCACCTCCCTCCCTCTCCCCTCCCTCTCCACAGGGTACTGGAATTCAATATCACAGACAATTATTGTAATTGCACCAGTACAGTTGTGGGACTTCAATACACAGGACGAACTGGGGTGGTGGGTTGGATGTTAATTTAATCGTATAATACTTTCACACAAAGCATTAGCACGTTTGTTTACCTTACAATTCAGGTGGAGAAGAATGAAAGAATGAGGGTGAGAAAAAGACAGATACTTAAAAGAGAGACAGAGGGAGAGAGAGGCAGAGATATAGCTGTGCCGGGCAGATCTCCCCTGAGTCTGTCCCCCTGTCTGCCTGTCCTCCTCCCTCTACGGATGACCTCTGCTCGGCTTTATTGGCATGGGAAACATATGTTTACATTGCCAAAGCAAGTGAAATAATTAACAATAAAAAATGTATAGTAAGTATTACACTCACAAAAGTTCCAAAATGTCATATTTTGTCTATATACAGTGTTGTAATGATGTGCAAATAGTTAAAGTACAAAAAGGAAAATAAATAAACGTAAATATAGGTTGTAGTTACAATGGGTTTTTCTCCATCTGCAAATCGCACTCGGGCTACCTCCTTGCTCCCCAGCATCTTTCTACCTCATTTCGCCCCCATCGAGTCGAACAGCCGGCCCCCAAAGCGCGGGCGTAAGAGGGAAAACAGGGGGGAACAGGGCACACAATCTGAGCGTACCGCCTTTCCCCCAGCTTTTCACCTACCTTCCCCCCCTGTTCTCACTCCTTTCCCCAAATCTCTTCTCTACCTCCTTCCCCCCTGTTCTCTACCTCCTTTCCCCCCATCTCTTCTCTACCTTCCCGTCCCTCTCCCTCATCTCTCCATCTCCGCCCCAACTGACCCTGCTGCCCCCCACAGCCGCTTGGTATCCCCACACTGACAGCTCCCACATCTGCGGTGGTCACAAGGTCACAGAGACAGGGTTTACTGAACGCCGGGAGACCCTCGCTCAGGGATGCCCATCGCCCGGGAAACAACTCTGCTGTGCCGAGGTACAAAGCCAACAGCAATTAGATTGTAACAGAGGCAGAGACGGAATGTATAGTGTATGCTTGTGTAGGTTTAGGCTTGTGTAATTTACTGTGACTAGGGTTGACAGGATTGTAGTATGTAGGATGCCCCTCCTGGGTATCCATAGTTGCCTGTGACTTATTTGCATCAAACTGATTTCTGAAATCATGCTGAACAGTTAATCAAATGGTACCTGGACTATTTACCTTGACCCCCTTTTTTATTTATCTGAATTGTTTTGCACTGACTCTCTTGCACTGGCTCTATTCACACTCACTAGACTCTACCCACACACTCACACATACTACCCTGACACTCCAACACACACACACACACACACACACACACAAAACACACACACATGCATATTGACATCACACACACATACATTCATACATAGACACACTTTCACATACGCTGCTGCTACTCTGTTTATTATCTATCCAGATTGCCTAGTCACTTTTACCCCTACCTACATGTCATTGGAGGCTGCTGAGCGGAGGACGGCTCATAATAATAGCTGGAACAGAGCACATGGCATCAAACACCTGGAAACCATGTGTTTAATGTTTTTGATACCATTCCACTTATTCCGCTCCAGCCTATACCACGAGCCCCTCCTCTCCAATGAAGGTCCACCAACCTCCTGTGCTACATGTACATATTACCTCCACTACCTCGTACCCCTGCACATTGACTCAGTACCGGTACTCCTTGTCAATTATATAGCCTCATTATTGTTTTTATTGTGTTACTATTTCCTTTTTTATTTAGCAAATATTTTTCGTACTTTTTAACTCTGCATTGTTGGGAACGGGTTTGTAAGTAAGCATTTCACTGTAAAGTCTACACCGGTTGTATTCTGCACATGTGACCAATAAAATGTGATTTGATTTTGAAGCCACTAGTGAACACTAAATGCAATTACATCCACTGTTGAGGTATGTTATTTTTGTCACCTGCACGTCAATTAGGAGAAAACTGAAACAAATGCATCGCTCACACCCAAAATCCTTTACTCATTCAATCGTCTTATCTTTTATAAATCTAATTTTCACATATGGTAACCTTGAGTGCCCGGCGTGGCGTATACTAATGTATCTCAATTTCATCATTCAGTCTCTGCTCGGTGTTCATCCACTAATCCTTCACTGGCAGTTGGCAGCAGCACCAAGCTGGAGCTTCATCAGACAGTCTATATGTGACTGGCTGCTGCTGGCCAAACAGACTATCAGCCAGAGCTACTCCTTACAGTATGCCAAGCCAAGAGATCCCAGCAAGTCCCAGCAAGCACAGCCAACGTGCTGCGCGCCAAAGACTGTTCATTGCCACACACACACACCCCTCCTCTCAGACCCACACACACACCCACAAGCCAACCAATGGGCTGTATCATATCATCACTAAACATTTGCAGCATCCCAACTGTTTTCCTTGGCACTGACCGAATCTTCTACCGGAAAGTTCCAACATGTCGATGTCAATGCCAAGTGTAGGTTCGAACGGATCATCCGTGACTGTGAAAAAAAACACGTAACAAAAAAAACGTGATTTTCAGACACGTGTGAACACACATGAACAAGTCATGTGGAAAAAAAAAATAATACATTCTAATTTATTTGTTTTACCATGTGAAATGTTCACACATATATTTTTCAAGTATTTGTCCCTTGTTTTTTTTATTGATTTTCACGTGAACTTGCAATTCCACATGTGAAAGTGAGATTTTCATATGTAAAAAAACAACATAATTTTGTATTTTTTTCACATGCAATTTTCTTGTGAGTCAGACACGTGGTTTTCGGACATGTGTGAAGTTCCACATAATAATTTCTCATGTTTTTCCCTCGTGAATTTATTATTAATTTTTTTGCAATTCACCTGCAAGTGAGATTTTCACATGTGGAGTTTTCTTACATGTGAACCTGAATATCCAATTCTCACATGTGAACGTTTTTAACATGTAAAACCGCAAATTCCACATGTGAAACTGCAATTCACGTCAGGTGAAAACATGTTATTCTCCTCACATGTGAAAAGGTGGCGTTAACATGGAAACTCTAAATGTAATACATGTGAAAATATGGTTTCACATGTGAAATTTAAGCTTCACCCGTGAAAACAGCTATTTCATACGTGAAAATGCGATTTCACGTGTTTTTTTGTAAGGTCATTGCTGTACTACAGGAAATTTCATCTTGGTTTCAAAAAGTTATTCGATAAAGGATTCACATGCAAGTATAAATGACTACTAAAGGACACTAGGACACACACGCGAGTATAACAGATTAGCCATCTACTTTATATAATTACAGCCTGATGCACTCCCGGCGGTGTGCATTACGCATGTCCCATAGCAGAGGGAAAGTGCACAGACACGTCACAGTCCTAGGCTACTAAAATGTTGCAGTCTGTCTTTAGTTTTTAAAACTTGACAATGAATAACCAAAAATCTAAACCTGCAACAAAACACCATGCAAATGAGAAACATGTAGGCCTATTACAGAAACACTTGAGCAGTAGCCTAGGCTGGCTACTGAACTACAATACATTTTGAGTACACAATACAGCAATGCTGCATTCAACCGCACCGGTGATTTATGCAGCTTGAAAAATAAAGAAACCTACCTACGCTTTTACCATTTGCAGTTAAATACTTTTGATCAGTATATTGTGCACATCTGCAAGCATAGCAGCAAAGGCTGAACAAATATTATTTCTCTCTTCTTTTGATAAAATGCTATATACAGCATCCTATGTATGTTAATAAGTGGCCATTATAAAGGCGCATCTTATTTTAAGTAAAGTTATTGTATGCACGTTTTTTTCTTAAAACAAACAAAGGGGCGCGTTCCTCTGCCCAGGTGTTGCTGATGCACTCTTAGATAAAAAGGTGCTATCTAGAACCTAAAAGGGTTCTTCGGCTGTCCCCATAGAATAATCCTTTGAAGAAAACTTTTTGGTTCCAGGTAGAACCTTTATGGGTTCCATTTAAACCCTTTCCACAGAAGGTTCTACCTGGAACCCAAAAGGGTTCTACCTGGAACTAAAAAGGGTTCTCTTATGGGGAAAGCCGAAGAACCCTTTTGGATCCCTTTTTTCTAAGAGTGTTCAATGCCTGGATAGGTATTTTAAATATCAGCTAACCACATCAAATGTTATCGCAATCTGGTGCCCGACGACACAGTCGATGACATGGCATGCAACCATTGGTTGATGCATGCAACGTCTGAGCAGGGGAACGCGACCTCAAGAGGACATTTATAATAGCCTGGTTAAACCTGACATTCAGTCGTGTTAAGGCAGGCTAGATTTGAAGAGGACTAAAGGGAAACCATACCAAGAGTTTTGGCAAATTAGAATAAGCTTGTGTTTGATTATAAATAAACATTTAGGGACGGATTCCCAGACACAAATTAAGCCAAATCCTGGACTAAAAAGTACTTTCATGAGCTTGCTTTTTAGTCCAGGATTAGGCCTAATCTGCCTCTTAGGGAACTGCCCCGTAGGGAACTACTGCCCCGTAGGGAACTGCCCTGTACGAAAGTGCCCCTTTAGGAAACTGCCCCTCTAGGAAACTGCCCCTTAGAGTTTCTCTTTAAAATCTTACATTTACATCATTTAGCAGACGCTCTTATCCAGAGTTAGTGAGTGCATACATTCTTTTTTTATTTTTTTTATTTTTTCATACTGGCCCCCCGTGGGAAACGAACCCACAACCCTGGCGTTGCAAACGCCATGCTCTACCAACTGAACTACATCCCTGCCGGCCATTCCCTCCCCTACCCTGGACGACGCTGGGCCAATTGTGCGCCTCCCCATGGGTCTCCCGGTCGTGGCCGGCTATGACAGAGCCTGGATTCGAACCAGGATCTCTAGTGGCACAGCTAGCACTGCGATGCAGTGCCTTAGACCACTGCGTCACTCGGGCGGCGAGAGGAAGAAATTCCAATTTTGATCATGAGTTCTAAGCCTTTGGCTCCAGGGTGAAATTACTCTTCCTCTCGATCTCCATTGGAATGAAACACACATTTCCCTGCCATATTTCTAAGTCCTGTTCTATAGTATCACAGCCTGAACATTCCCAGAGGGAGTCCTTCTCAAGCCTCTTAGTATAAATGTCAGAGTGGCTGAGGGCCCTGACCTCTGTCAGCTCCCACAGTACAGTGTGAGAGAGAAGGGAACATGGCTCAGTGGGTTCAGTACACACGTATGAACACACACACACACACACACACACACACACACAGAGAAGTACCCACGCCATGCAGACACACACACACATGCATGGACACACACACACAGAGAAGTACCCACACACACACACACAAACACACACCAGGCCAGCGACTGCAGCCAGAGGTCCAGCCCACTGGACCACAACAGGCAGGGGTGTGAGAGGAAGTGACAACCGCTGAATGACAACGACACATAGGAGTCAGTGGATGGGCCCTCGCATACACACCAAGCACACACATCCAAACATCCACTCTACATGTGCAGTCACATAAAGACAACTAACCTTCAAGATACATACACCGTTGCTTTCTACTATCTGACTCCATTCTTAGAGATCTGCCAAGAGTTCATTTCTCCCACCGAAGCGTAAATCACATCTGATGAAGTCGTATTTTTCACAGCAGCACTGATCTAGAGTTAATAAAACAATTCAAAGTGCTGTAGCAATTAACTGCAAACAATAGCCTTGAAGCCATCTTCTCATCAGCGGTTTCCCAGAACAAATTATAGCCCGGAGCTGTTTGCTATGATCCCTTCTTATGGTACAAGTACATCATTATCAAACAACAAAGTGTCTCTAACAACATGTGCTCTCATTGGAGTAGGTCAAAGGTCATTTGATAAAGGTCAACACAGACAAATGTGATGACTCAAGAATTGTTTAGTCTAAAGTAGTAGACAGGAATGCGGCATCCATATTCGGAAGTCGTCAGTTGTCAGGCAAAACCCA